AACTTATTAGCATGTAATTCCAACTTCAAGATGAAGTTTGTCAAATTCCAAACGAATATGATTACACATTTGTTAGCTAAAGTGACAAATTCTTAGACTAGGTGTGATGTTTTTCATTTGATTCCTCATTCTATTTATCAATCGCTGATTAATGATATAAGTTAAGTTTTTTTTTTGTGTAAAAAAAGCTATATAAAAGTTAAATTATATAAATACATATCACAAATTCCAAGAATTTATATATAAAAAACTTTAATAATTGAGCTTTGTATTTATTTTGAGAAATGAAGAGGATCCTAACTCATACTCCATCCGGTCACTATTATAAATAAATACTCTCTTTTTAGATTCATTAAGTAAGTGATATATATAATCTCTATGTAGACCAGATACATGAATTATTTAATGAACCCAAAAAGATAAATTTTCCTTATAATAATGACCAGAGGGAGTATTATATTATTGTAATGAATGCACATTGACTTTGATTTAATGTCATCACCTCGATTTCCTCTCCATAACCTAAATACATCTACTTGTTGAATATTTTATTGAATATTTCATTAAATATTATATTTCATAATTATTGAGCATATATATTTTTTTAGTTAATGGCTAATTAAAATTTTAAATTGAATAATTAATTATATATTTAGTTAATTGATATGAGTTCTATACGAGTGAATGTTAGATGATGTATTTCAAAATAACGAGACTCTTAATTGACCAACACATTATATATAGGCTATAGTCTCCAATATATCTTACATAAGTAAATTATTTATTTTTCTCATTCAAAGAGTGTTCAAGACACTAGGAATATTAGTTGAGGTAGAACCACAAGTTAACAAGTGTCAGTCACTCACACCTACAATTTTGCATTTTAGATCAGTATTGAAAGACTTATCATTATGGACATAACTATTTCTACAAGCCCATTTCTTATAGACTAACATGTCATAGATTTTATAATTATATACATGCTCATTTGTTTATTCTAAAATGCATCTAAAGTATGATTGAAATCATGTATAAAGCATATATTGTATAATTAAATGTTATTAAATCAATTCATCATTATAGTTCCTGACAAACACTTTTGGATAGCCTCTCCAGAGTTAATCAGGCAAGACTGCACATGTTTCTGTATTTTCGTGGTTCTTATATTGCTATTTGTGCTTTCCCCCTTTTTATTTCCCTCCAAGGGAGGTTCCCTTTTATTCTCTTACCCTTGTGACCTGCTTTCATTAAGAGATAACCTCTCAGATCCCTTTATTAATGATGAGGTTTAACTTCTGTCACTACGATCAAGAGGCATAATGCCCTACATTGATGTTTGGTTTATAAAATTCATGCGGCTTTTAGACAATCGTAATTGTTATCTTGATTTGGCACCTCAGCCACTCGATTAGGCATACCCCTGGTTTCTCCCGAATCCACACCTCGACCTCGGGTAGGCTTCATATCCCGGATCCAGTTTTTTCATACTTGTCGATTACCTACTAGTAATATTGTTTTGGATACAACTATTATATTCATGTTGACATCTTGATCTATCAGAGTGTGAGGATATGGAACATTAATGCTTTCACTACTATATTTATGACGAATGTGGATGATAGGATACTTCAAACACCTTTCTACCACTTTTTTATGAGAGATACGCTCATATGGGATGGTGATCCACAAGGTTCTTACACCATTTAATTTGGATACAAGTTCTATCTAGAGAAGCTCTCAAAATAAAGTCATATGTATGTTATAAGTTTATGGAAGAGATTATGGAGTATAAGAGTCCCTCCAAAAGTGCGCAACTTAATTTGGAAATTTTTTTGGGGCTATCTCCCAATTAGAAAGAAATATCAATTGCACCCAATTCAATGTCTTTAGGATTGCCCTTTATGCGAGTATGAAAAAGGATGACATTCACTTTGTGGTATACTATGACTTTAGTTAGATAGTGCAATATAAGACGAGTTTATTGCAAGACACTGATCATGTTATTAGAGAGACACAAAATGTCAAAGATACGATTTCTTGATAATAAACAATCTGAATAATAAGAATAATAAACACAAAAATTTAATGATATGTTTAACAATTCTTTACGCTGACACAAAAGTTTTGAAAGAATAAAAACAACATTGTTTAAAATCTTAATCTTGAGCAACCATATCAACTATTGGTGAAAGATATAATCCATCTAGAATAAGATATTACTAGTCTAAACCTCCTCCCACATGATTGTCTGGTTGGACACCCAATCTCGTCTCAATTAGAGTGTGTGGGATTTTAAGCCTTTTCACATCTATGGAATGGGTTCAACAAAAAAAATTTTTTGAATGTTATATTTAAAAACTATTCAAAGATTATAGTTGATGTCATTCAAAGCTCTCTCATATACACATTAAATTTTGGACCAATCATTAGTAATACTATATACGGTATATCTATACAAAATTTATGCATAGTTCATACAAAAAAATAGTTGAATTTGATTGTTCATACACATATTGGAATGGTTAATTCTTAAACATCTCACCAATTTTTTTCTTATTTATATTTGTAATACTTTAGCTTAGAGCACTCAAAATGATTTTGTCTATATAAACCAACATGTCAAGTTTTAGACTTTAAAATTAAAGTTCAAAATTTATTAGGACTTTATTAGGTCGACTTTGAAAAGTCTCCTACCTATTTTGACTAAATCATATAAGTTACGAGAGTCGATCATTTGATTTACATAGCTATAAATTCTAAAATTATACTAATATTTATGTTGTTATACATTAAAAAAAACATATTGAAATGACTTATTTTTCTTTAAATTTTTACTCTTCATTACATTCAATATTTCTATTTTAAATATTATATATTAATTTAATCAAATTTATATTTAATTATTTTATAACTTTATCATATTTTATTATTTATTTTGAACAACATTAGACTTATATTGTATTTAAAAACATATTATTGTTTTTAAAAATAATTTAGTGGTTAAAAATGTATTATATTTAAGAAAAACATATTTTATAAATTGTATTTATAATAAATATTATATAATTTTTAATTCTTTTATAAAAAATATATAAAATAACTTAATTGAAATTAAATTGCCCACAATCAATTTAGGACTAAATTCAAATAATATATTTTGAATTCATATTATGATAGTATATTAGTTCAACTTATCTTAACTTGCTAAAACGAGATTTATCCGATCTGATTTATAATTAGATAATCCATCTTAATAACTACTTTAATTAATGAAATGAATTACATTTATATTTATACTAGTAACAAAATTAAGAAGAAGAATCCTAAAAATAAAAATTGAGCCACACATAAAATAATTGCCATTGTGCAATTAATAAAAAGCCCAAACATGCCTTAAATAAATAAAAAAATAATAAATAAAAAAATATAGTATTTAAACTGACACAGAAGTAAAATCCCGCCCAGAGGAGAATTTGAAATTCAAATAGACCGTTTTAACTTTCTCGGCACGGATAAGAATGACTCTACACACGTGTCAAAAGTTGAAAAACAATAAACTTAAAATTCAAATTAAGCCATTTTATTCGGAGAAAAAGACTAGACTCTCTTCAATTATATAAAAGCGCCATTCTATATTTTTGAAAAAAAATTACCATATGGATCTTCTTCATCCCAATCCAACGAACCCAAAACCCTAACCAATCGTAACAAACCTCACTACAAATACAAACCAAAACATTCATTTCAAACCCTCTTGAAATTCTCCAAACCCGATTCCGTTCCTCCACCCTCCTCCCTCTCTCTCTCGCAGCAAACAACCATGCCGGAAGCACGTGACCGCCGCGTCACGCCGCTCGACGTGGCTGACATTTTCACTCCCTCCGGATCCTCCATCTTCCAAGACTCCAACCCGCTCACCCTCCCAGCTGCTCCGTCGCTCACAGCAAGACCAGATCTGTTCGTTGCTCAACGAACTCCAATCAACCGCGGAGTTGCTCGTCCGCGTCCTCGCCACGCTCCGGGCATCCAGAACACTCCACCAGTCACCAATCACCGTGTGAGAACTCGTGGTAGTCCGTCGCGTAGCATTCTTCCGTCTTGGTATCCGAGAACTCCGCTTCGCGATATCACCGCCGTTGTTCGAGTAAACCTCTCTCTCTCTCTCTCTCTCTCTCTCTCTCTCTCTCTCTCTCTCTCTCTCTCTCTCTCTCTCTCCTCTCTCTCCTCTCTCTCTCTCTCTCTCTCTCTCTCTCCTCTCTCTCTCTCTCTCTCTCTCTCTCTCTCTCTCTCTCTCTCTCTCTCTCTCTCTCTCTCTCTCTCTCTCTCTCTCTCTCTCTCTCTCTCGATTCTTCTTTCTTTCTCTCTCTATAACAGTTTCATGTTTAGTCTAGAACGTTCTTTTATTTTTTTATTTGAACTTGATTTAATTTCAATTTGAATTAATTTTACTTTTATGATATTCTGTTGTTTAGTGCAGTTGTTAATTGATGCTGAATATTGTGAATGTTTAATTTATTTTGAAAAATGATTTTAATTAATTTAATCTGTTTAGGCGATTGAGAGAAGGATGGGTAGAATCGGAAATGAGGAATTTCAGCAAACTGGAACGACACCGTTTTCCGTGACTCCGTTGATGGTTTTCTCCGATCCATCTTCATTTTCCGCTTCTGGTTCACGTGCCTCCAAGAATTCTCCAAATTCATATGTTAAACTGAAAACACCTCATGGTAGCAAAGTATCGAAGATTCTGATTGATGTTATGAAGCTTCCTCAAGAAGACAGTGATTCGGAGTTTCTTACTCCTGAGAAGAAGCTTCTGAAATCTATCGATCAAGTTGAGATGGAAGTGAAACAAGAATTGATGAAACTGAAACGAACACCGAGTGCAAAGAAAGCCGAAAGAGAGAAAAGAGTTCGCACATTGATGTCTATGAGGTGAATTGAATTGCGGAAAATAGTTTTGATCTGAAGTTAGAGGCAGTTTTCGAAGAGGAAAATTTATGCGAAATCATCTTCTGATGATATATCGGTTTTCGATCAATTGTTTCTGCGGAGGATTTGGTAGAATTCCCCGTTTGCGTTATTTTGTTATCTTCGGCTTGAAGATTATAGGTAGATACAGTTTGTTTTTCTCTTTACATCATTCTTTGATGATTTTCCTGCATTGTAGATTCTGTTTCAGTACATTGTACATATTTCAATTTTTCATACAATTTCAATGTATGAGAAGGATCTTGCATCGGATTTGTACACTGGTTGTTACATCAATAGAATTTACTGTTTTGGGAATTTGCAATGGTGCTTTCTTTGATATCTTATGGTTCTTTATTGCTCAACTGCTTTTATTACTTGCTACTGAAAATGAGGTTATGTCTTTTGATAGGATTGTTGAGGGATTTTATTGTAGGAATGTTGATATTTGGTGTTTTGAATCAACCTAGTGTGTATTTTAAGAAGTTATAAAATAAATTGTATACTCAACCAATCAAATATTATAATTTAATGTCATATCATTTTTTTATTTTATTTACTTTTAGAATAAATTAAAATTTTTAATATAATTTGTACTAAAATTACCTATACCCAACTATTTATCATGATTTAATGTATTAATTGTATTAATTTTATTTTATGTTATTGAACTACAAAACTTTATTTTCAAATGTATGAATAAAAAATATGGATTCATTATTCAGGTTTCAACATGTTACTCACACTGGATCTAGGAAATTCGTGCGATTACACTGGAAAGTATTACACGTCGTATTGTTCATTTGTATTTTACTTATATATTATATTAACTATATTATTACATAGAACTTGAAGTTAAATGATGATTTTTTTTGCTCTATAGTAGTATTTTAAGGCATCGTTGTGGAGAGTTGCATATAGGGTGTAATTGATTCGGTAAATCCCAACCAAATCAAAATTCAAATTAGATCATAGAGTTTGAATCAGATATTTTTTTAATTTGAACAAAAGTGAATCAAACCAATAAAATTAAGATTTATTTAATTTGGATAATAGATTTTCACAATTCTATTCACTAATTTATTTAATCAATTAATATAATTTATTTATCTGAATCAATCATATTAATTCATTAAAATATATATTGTTATTATAATAATAATTCCTATAAAATATTTCACTTGAAAAAGAAAAATATTAAACATCATTTTTGACATTCATAACATATATATAGAGAAATGAAAAAATTTGGAATTTTATATTGTCATACAAAGTTAATTGATGTAACTTAAATATTTATTAAAATATTATTGCATATTTGTTTTTAATGTATTAATCAATCAAATTCAAACTAATTCGTTCTTTTTTCGGTTTGATTCGATTTGAGCTTTATCGCAAAAATGTGTAAATTCAATATATATATTTTTTTATCGGTTTAAGCATCGAATTCTCTTATAACCGAATTAAACCGACTCGCAAATATCTCTAATTACACATCAAAAAAGAAGTGTCGGTGGATTACTACTCCGCCAACATCCTGTTTCATATTATTAATTTTCACTTTTAGAATATTTTTTATCAAGTATTTTAATGGTTGAAATTTACCATTTCAAGATATATAAGTGAGATATCGTGTGCTCGAATCAATACTTCTATATTTGATGTTCATATATAATTATCAACTGAATTGATTTAACAAAACAAAAATATTCATTCATTTAATACTTTTTTTATATTGTTAATTGTTATACCCCAAAATTTGCCCTCTCATTCTCAAAGGATCATACTGGACCCTCAGGTTCGCTTCCATCCAATTTCAAGCATTGAAATACAAATTTTCCAAGAAAGTCATTCACAAGGGCAAAATGGTCATTTGCACACTAAATAGTCAAACTTTGACTTTTGGATCAAAATCAAGTTTCAAGGATCATATTTAATCAAGACATGTTGAAATATGAAGTTTGTTTCATCAAGAAATTCAAAAGTCAAAATTACTTTGGAAAAGCCAAATTTCTAAATACTTAGAATTTTTCTAAATTGTTTAAAAAATATGACAAGCTCAGAACTTCTGATCAGATTATCACTATGATACAAGCTGATTCTGGAAGAACTTCTGACATAAAAGTTATAGATTTCAATGAGATCTAAAATATTGCAGAACATAACTTCTTTTAGAAATGCTGGGATTTCAAGTTATACATCCTCAAAGGCACGTCTCTGAAGCTTAGGCATTTAGCAAATTCTGAGCATTTTCAAGTCAGAAGTTATCTACAACTTCTGGGCCAGTTTTCACGTAGGTCCAGTCAGAAGTTGCAAGGGTAATTCAAAGAAAGCCTACAAAGCATGTCACAAGCTTTCTGGAAAGTCTGAGAACTCGCTCAGAACATGCTGGAGCAAAGGGATTCAGAGATCAGTAGTTGGATGTTTGTTCTAAGTTGCGCTGATGCTGAACTTCTGACCCATAATTAAGCTATGAGCACAATCTCATAGCTCAGGATTTCTGGTTTGATAAATCTCATCATCATTTAATGCTCACAACCACTTTTGAGTTTTTTTCCAAAGGATTTTCCCACGTGTGAGATAGAAGTATCATTGATGTCCTTGAAAAATAAACTTTTGTACAAGGTTATGCTAGGCCCATGCTTTGATTTTGCCTCTGAGGGTACTTTTCCTTAATTCATGCTTACAAATCCAGCTTAGGCACGGCTAAAAGCTGCTAACCACCTACTTGCTTCAAGAACAAGGCATCAACCTAGCATATGAAGACTATGTTGACGCTTCGGTCAGAACATCACCAAATCCCTAAACCTCGTTTAAACAACCTATTGCACTGCTACCGCACAGTCCTATAGCCAACAGCTAATCCAGTCCACGCCTGCATTTTCCCAAATCCCATATTTGCACCAAACTAGCATACAAAAACTGTGTTTAAAAAGAAATGGAACAGTATGCCAAAAGGTTTTGAAAATCCCATTTGTTTTCCCCCTAAAACCACAACAAACCCGTCTATGAATAAGTTGCTCCATCACACTTTCAAGAGGAAGGCTTTTAGAGAGAGAGAGAGAGAGAGAGAGAGAGAGAGAGAGAGAGATGAGAGAGAGGAGAGAGAGAGAGAGAGAGAGAGAGAGAGAGAGAGAGAGAGAGAGAGAGAGAGAGAGAGAGAGAGAGAATTATAAAAGAGAGAAAAGGAAACAGCAAAAACCTTCGCAAATCCTAAACAAAACCTTTGTTATTCTCTTTAAATCGAAGAACATAACCACTATTTCGTTGCTCTCACAAACTCCAGAACATCTGAAGGATGCAACTCAAGTTCCAAGCACACGCTTCAGATTCAAGGCAAGTCTTTCTGACTTTGCATATTTTCATTTAGAACATCCTAAATATGTAAATATCATAGTATTGATGCTGGCCATATCATTGCATGAGTAGAGAAACTATGGATAAGAACTTCTTGAATAAATCTAGGCTTAGAATTAGAATTAAAACTTCTATAAACTGTTGTGCTTTTATCCTTCTGATTTGTTGTTAAGAACTAAATAAATTGCTGATATGCTGATTAATATGAGGAAAGAGTTGAAATGTAACACAGAACTTCTGAGTTCTCCTTATTATTTTAACACACAGAACTTCAATGATTTTCTCACTGTTTAAACACATTGAACTTCTGATGTTCACTCGCTGTTAACACACACTGAACTTCTGATGTTCACTCACTGTCTTAGCACATACTGAACTTCTGAGTTCTCTTCACTGTTTTAATACACAAAACTTTTAAGACTTTCTCACTGTTCTAACACTCAGAAGTTCAGCATACAACAACCCATAACTTCTGTGTTTTCCCCCTAAAGTTTCTTGTAGGACCTCAGAATGTATCAATCCAGAACTTCTGACGCTCCTTCTGAACCACAACGCGCCCGACATCAGAACTTCTGATCCCCTTTGTTTTGCTTTCAGCATCAGGCTAATCCTATCTCTCATTATTTCCCTTTTATTAATTCATTAAGACAAAACCATTTTCTAAACAAGTCCTTTTTCTTTCTTGCATTGTACATTTCAATATGGTTGTAATAGTAATTAGGATTTAAATTCTTGCAACCCCCCATTTGTAAATTTGTACCCCCATCCCTAAATGATGTAATAGCGTAGGACTTTATATTTCCGTAATTTATCGCTTTTCAAATATAAATACTAGTAATTAGGGTGTGTATGGCAAGATATGAAATCGACAAATAGATAACCCTAATCAAGACTAAATGCATGTAAATAAAACATACTTTCACACTAGCACCCTTAGGGTAATACCACTTGTTGCCTATCGGAAATTAGTCATGTCCCTCGAATATGGGCGTTTTAGTAAAGACCCTCGATAAAAGATCGTAGTCCCTCGCTGACCCTCAATGTTGCCTTTGGTAAACGATCTAGTCCCTAAAACGACATTGCTAAACGTCCCATAGGTTGCCTTCTATGACTATACAAACGTCCCACGCCCGTCCCTTCACATCCAACGACGAGACTTCTTACCAAATCAATGGTAAGATAACAACATCTAAAGGAGGAGGAAAAGAACACTTAAGACCTTTTGAGTAGGTAGATTCGCTCCTAGTTACTCGCTTGCTCACAACAAAACATTTTATATACCAAACACACTCATTTGAAATATTTTCAAAAGACAAACAATTTGTATGCATTCTTATAGAAACAAGAGCCTCTACAAAGAAGACACCTTTTCAAAATCACTTTCAAAAACACATTCCACAAACACCTCTTTGAACTATTTTCAAAACAACACTTTGTATGCGTTATTATAGAAACGAGAACCATTACAAAGATATTTTCAAAATAGTTTCAAAACCCACACCACAAGCACACATTCAAACAAAAGCAAGTGATCTAGCAAGTAACTAAGAGCCCGTGGAAAACCAAGGATGAAAAGGATGCTAATACCTTCCCTTTTCATAATCTACCCCCCGAACTCAAGAAAACATCTCAAAGGTCTTTCCCGTTCTTTTCAGCCTTTCCTTTTGGATAAAAGAAAAGTCGGTGGCGAGTCTTGCTAACCATAACATTTACGATAAAACGCAAAACAACCAAGTCATTTTTTCCACCGCGTTACAGAAATGGAGACTCTGCTGGGGATAATTATTAAAGTGGGGTTACCTTAGGGCTAGATCATATTTACTTGCTTTACTTGTTTGACTTGCATGCTTTACATTATGGTTCCTTGCTTGGGCTTGCTTTAATCCTACACCCAAATTTGGGGCACCTTTTTAGGTACGTAGCAATAAACTGTGAGGGAACTTTGCGAGGTATACCGACACGGTTGAAATAGTAGCTACGTTAGTGTGACGCATTTGTTGGTACCGGTATCCCTAGTGTTGAAACGAGGAGAATATGGGGCCGCTGAGCAGCGTCATGAAGCACTAACTGACCTTAGAACCTTAATTGACAAACTCAGCTTTTAGAACATGGT